TCTAAAGTCTACTCGGATGGACAGTAGGGCTATGTCATGGCCCTTAGAAGTATGCATCTGCTCCGGTTGGACATGAATCAATACATCTATACTCTTTGCGATTGCATCCAACTTGCTCAACAAGTCCTCTTGTGCCAGCGCAGTAGTATGCTGTTCTGCGGCGGCAACCAATTCCTTCTCTAGCTCAGTGGTCGCCGCTATGCGCCTCCTTCTTTGCCTTCTCAGTTTCAATTTCCACTCCATTCTTTTCTCCTCTTCCAGGGCCTGCTGCTCTAATGGGTCTTTCAAGGCTTTTATCTCTGCCACAGCAACAGTCCTCTCGTCCTGGAGGATGTACATCAATGCTTCTTCATTCTCCCCAGGGATAAGTTAGCCACCCATTCTGACACCATCTTTTCCAGTTTCTTTTCATCTTCATTGGTCCCACTTGATTCCCCTTTTTCCTCTCTTCTCCTAATCCTCATCGGGGTTATCTCCTCTCCTTCCTCTTCTTCTTCACCCTCTCCATCTCTTCCTCAAGCTTCTTCTTCTTCGCCACCTGTGCTTCCAACAGGGCCTTCTTCTTGGCCTCCTTCTCTTTCCTTTCTTTTAATATGGCGGCGACACTCTCCTCCTGCTCTTTTGTATATAGGGTGGTGCTCGTACCACTACGTGTGTCAACCATGGTGATAGGTGTACAACCGGATGACAGTTCCACTCCTCACCACTTAGACTCTCACCCCCTGACTGACGTAACTTGTGACTAACTTACTAAGGACCACAAAATCCTTGGAGGACCTTGCCTACAGGACTTCCTGCTGATTAGGAGACATTTAAGGAGATTCCCCGTAATTCCTTAGGAATTATTTAACGTCGCAAACAGGACGACGCGATCAGCAATTCCTCTCAAGACGTAGACAGCTGGTTGTGCAGCCCACAACTCGGATTTTGGGCCTACTGTGCCACACTAAGGAGCCCGCCGGTCGGTACCGGTCCTTGGGAGGGTTTGTCCTCCGGGTCAGTCAGTCGTCAGACACGACCTTTAGCCCTACTCAGCCCGTGTGGGTTTGGTCAACGCAGCTCTATGACCTCATTCACAAAGTTCCTATCACCTGGACAGAAGAGACTCAATGCTGAAAGAAGAGACAAACTGACTCAGCAAGTACCATGGGGTATGTGCACATCCATAGGGCGAGGGGATAGGCTGAAGGCTTGGCGAGAGTATACCAACTCCAACTTGGTCAAACTTTGCAGTCAACAGCTTCGGTCAACGCCCTGGTCAACACCTCAGTCAACGCTGGTCAACACTTCGGTCAACTCCTTGGTCAACGCCAGCATGCACTCTGGTCAACGCTGAAAAGCACTTGGTCATCTTTGTAGACGCCTGGTCAACACTGGTAAACACCTCGGTCAACGTTGGCTATGGCTACCAACCCTCCTTACTTTCCTTCACCTTCCTTCTTCGTTCTCCCTTGGCTATGGCTTCTTTCTCGCCTTCGTCTCTGTCTTCTTCACCCCTTGGTATGGTTTCTCTTTCTCCCTTCTTTGTCTCTCCTTCCTCCTCCACTTCAGCTATGATTCTCTCCCTCTCTTCTTTGACGTTGTCTTCCTCCTCTGTGCCTTCTTTCTTGATGTCCGAGCTCGGCGGCTATGGCCGCCACCTCCTTTCTTGGACTGCACAACAATCTTGTATCGCTCCTCTCTCTCTCTCTCTCTCTCTCTCTCTCTCTCTCTCTCTCTCTCTCTCTCTCTCTTCGTCATTGTCTTCTGTGCAGGTTCGTCGCACCCTCCTTCGGCGTGGCTATGGCGGACCCTCCTCCTTCGTTGGCGCAGCTACAGCTATGGCGCCCAACTTTCAGCAACGGCGATGGCGCGTGGAGTAACGGGAATCAGCTCCGATACCAATGCAATCAGACTCACTTTCTTCTTTGCTTCACATACATGCAAATAGACGGCGACTCACACTGGCGCACAACGGCCACTCGAAACTCAGAGATGTGGAAGTCGAGAACACAGTTCAGATGCAAAGTTGCTTCAACAGGCTATGGCGCATCAGCGCCTATACATCCCAATTCTCGATACTGTTTTCAACACCACTGTTCGTACTCACTCAACTCTGGATCACCCTGAATACCCCACACACATTCACTATATCACACACTCACACACTAGCACCTCTCTCCTACCTACAACGGCTATGGCGACTATAGCCGCTCAACTACTAACTATGGCTACGCTATCTTCTTCCAGCCCACTTCGACTTCGGTCGCTCTACAGATGTGGCATAGTGCGTAGCCACACGGGCCCTGCAGGGCCCGTCCCGCACTTTCAGCCTAAAAGCCTAGAAAATAGGGCTTACAGGTCTCGATCGTTTCAGCCTGAAACTGAAAAACGAGGGCCTGCAGGCCCTATTCCGTTTTCAGCCTATTTTTGGGCCTTTCAGGCCCAGAGGCTTTTCAGCCT